AGAGGCCATTACAAAACAATTAAAGTAAGCATTTCCCAATCGCTTAAAATTAAAGCAAATATATTCAATATTTGTTTATCGAATCATTAAACAACAATGCATTATGTAAAATATGTTTCTAGTAGTGACACCTAGAGCTTACAACTTCTCAGCTCTATAAAAGTTGAAAGCTTCTTTCAGCAACATAACAGTTTTCTTTTAACCACTCTTAAAGATTGTTTACAGGAGCTGCAGGAAACAGTTTTCAACACAAAAGCAATACAAAAACAACTGCTCCAGCCAGCAGACAAACACATCTTGTAAATACCTAGTGGAGCATTTATCAGCTAAATATCCAGATAATTCCCTCAGGAGTTGGGAATCAACAAAAAAATAGCTGAACAGAGATTGGACTTAGACATTTGCATGTTGGTCGAAGTATAACTCACTTATCATTGAAATATTAACTTGATTACAACTTTCTGCTTTATTGTGTAAAGACACCTGCATCAATTTAGAATCGGACCAATGTATGTCAGCTATGGCCCAAAAAAAAGAAATTGTGGACAGGGTAAAAAGGAACCAATTTAAAGTGTTGCCAGAAGAGGTTGCTTCAGGAAAATGTGGCCTTTGTGTTTAAATATGTGACTGTTCGTGTCTAATCAGTCTATGTTATGTTGGCGTCTGTTTCCCTAGGCAACAGTGAGGGGCAGATGTTCCTTCTCCCACTGAGGAAGCAGCAATTAGTCTAATGTGACAGATAACAAATGGAGACTTCACAGCACGTGAGAGATTTAATTAATAGCTGATCTAAATATGTCTTCACACCGCTTCTTTATGTAGTTCAGGACAGGGAGATTTAAGTTAAATTAGGGGATGTATCTTGGTCTTCTGATCTTGAATGTCAGTATTAGACGCAAAAGGAACAACTTCATCTCTCCCACCACTTTTCCCTACATGTGTCCTTTTTTCAGGACGTTGGAAACTCCAGACTAGTTATCTTGTATTCTGTTGCTGTGTCTTGTTAGGAGGTTGTTTTGTGCCATGCTGTTCTGCTTTGGAGGTCACAAAGATTTAAGGGCATTGAACACTCTGCCTGACCTAGTTTTATTGAAATCTCCCATTCTGTGCCAAAAGTAGCAGTTCTAGGTGTCTGAAATGTATGTTGGCTTTGTTTCAGAAGTAGGCAAGAAAAGACATGGAGTAGCTGAATGGATAAATAGAGATGGCGAGAATAATTCAAAGGTTATTTCCTGTCAGTGAATTTAAATTATAATGAAGAGCTGATCATCATTCCCACAGGATTTTCCCAGGCAAAATAACTAAGGCAACACTGTAGACAGCTTAAGAACCAGAGCATCCCAGAAATAGCAGTAAACGGTATCTCCTCTCTGTATCTGGCCAGCGGCCCACCTTCAGGTCTGCTGCTGGTGTGGCTCGGCTTCGGCTGAGCTGAGCTGAGCTCACTGGGAAATCAGCCAGACGACGTTGTGTGGGTAGAGGAGCAGATTGAAGATTTCAATTGTGCTAAATTCTCCTGTGGAAATTGTTTGGGTGGAAATAAATGTTTTTGTGGTCTTTTGTGGGGGTTTTTTGCGAACAAAGAACAAAGCCTCTGGTGTGAAACAGCTGGCCAGTTGAATTGCAAAAGGTTGACACACAACATGAAATAGCTGAGCAGTTAAATGTAAATCACCGATTAATAAAAACAGAGATCTGCAAATCTGCTCACTGACTCATGTCTATCAGCTGTCAGCCCTTAGCCAAGAATAAAATAATCATCTCCTGGCTGGAGCTTTATTTTGAATGGAGAAATATGAAAGTTGTATTCATCACTGTGTGCAAAAGTGAATAAGCCTTCATTGTTTCCCAAAATGTTGAACTACTCCTTGAACATCACTAGTCATCTTTATTCAATTGTCTCTTCACACTCAATTCCAGCAAACTGATCACTGAACAGCTCTATAATAGCAGCCACACAAATCAATGAAACTGATTTGAATCTCTTAGTTGTGAGTTCAATATCACCAGTGAATAAAATAATCCTTGTGAAATGATTCTTTTTCACATGTCTATGGTTTGTCTTTTCTAATGAGAATCAAAAGTCTGTCTGCCTCTTTGTTCAGTCGGCACATGCTCAGTGTGAGCGGCTGCCCGGCTACAGTAACGTTAGAGACGGCCTTATTGTCTGCATCACTCCTTGTCTCTTCTTCTTTGAGGGTAGCTTTGTGTATTGGCTCTCAACAGTTTACTTTGACATACAGTCAAACATTCAAAACAAACGAGGGTATGTGAATTACAGTCGGACGTGGTTATGTGTGATAGCATCTGCTCCGTAGACCCCCATGTGTCCATTGTTTCAGAAATATGGTAATTTATATTATTCTGACTAAATGCATGTGTTTCTAGATTCATTTAATGTGATCCTTTATACAACATGCATCACGTAGAGTCATCTTAAAACCAGCAGGAGCCTTATTAAAAAAAACTACAAAGAGTAGCATTATTTGCAGTACTGAAGCCTAACTAATTTTGGCCGTTACTACTGCAATACAATGTTTTTATATCATATTACAAGTTTTACATACGTTTTTCAGGACCTTAAATGTCTATTATGTATCTCGCTTGACAAAATAAATATGAAACACACATTATTTCGTTTTGAGCTATATTTGTCCTAAAACAATCCCCTTTATTTTAACCTTAAAAATACATGTTTCTCTCTGCGTTTTGATCTCATTGATCCATGGTGTACAGACTCTGTAATAGGATGGGGTGACATTGGCTGAAGACATAGTGGAGGATTATTTTACTCGCTATAAAGCACATGCGGGAGCCCCGACTATCTGTAATGGGATCTACAGTCTCAGGCTGAGTTTTGATTGATGGCTCACACAGATTATCTTGTAGCGTGAAGACATTTCAGATTCTATCTTTCAACGTATTTTGTTTCAGGTGTTACATTTTTCAATCTGATGTCTTGAAATGTCCTTCGGTATCAATGGTTGTAATAATTGTTGCCTAATTATGGGACTTCCTGACTTAATACATGTTAAACTAATTCAAATTAAAAACACATTTATAATGGACAAAGAGCTGTGTGTCCAGATGTGACTCATTCCCTCATGTGTCTTGGTGTGCCAATGAGCTAGCGTGCTTAACGTTTTTCCAAATCAATTAACCTGACTCATGCAGTGTTGACATGTACAATTTCAACATCTAAACTTTCCAGGTGAACGAGACAGTTTTTTGGGAGGTATTTTTTTAACACTACCAAATAATTTCTGTGAAGATAAGATACAAAAAAACGTATAAAAGATTGTTTACCATATCAAGCTACCTGAGAACTTTGGTGACATACTTATACATCATTTACATGCTAAACAGGTTTTTAATATATCCTGGTTCATCTTATTTTTATTAAATACAGGAAATATACGTTACGTAGATTTTGAGTTATTGGTTTACTATTTACAATGTGCATTTCCATTGTTTTGTGATACGCCTCTTTGATAAGTCTGGGTAGATGGGTTTGTCACAAATTGGAGAACTCTTTGATTTACTTTAATAGTAGCAGCGACGTGCAGTCAGGGGAGGCAGGGGAGGCAGAGCCTCACCTGTCATACTCCTCCAATGTAACGGAAAAACAACTAAAGAAAAACTAAATAGTAATAATAATAAAATGTCTCCACTGATCTGTTTTGTAAATGTGATTTATGTATGATTCCAATCGCTTTTTATAGTCAAAATCAGCAAATTTGCCGAGCTCCGCTACAACTACGGGTAGCGATGAGAAGTGAGACAGGGACGAGCTCTGCCTCTCGTAACTGGCTGGAGCGCGGGCACTAATTTAGCGCGGGCACTTATTTTGTGAGCGCGCTCAAGCCAGTTACTGTGGGGTAAGGTGAGGCACAGATGAGCTCTGCCTCACCTCAGAATGCGTCACCCCACAGAAACTGGCTGGAAAGCGGGCCCTAAGCGCATGCCTGCACCATCTCACTGTATGTCACCAATGTAATGTTTGTAGATCCCTTTATTACATTTATCCTCGCCATCCATAGTCTCTAAATAACTTATTTCACGTATATGATATTTAGGCTCGCTGGTCTCATCATACAACGGCAATGAAAAAAGCACCAGGAGAGGCAGCCATAACCTCTGCCGCACTGAAGGGGGCGCACGTGAGCCCACAGGTTCTTGTTGCTACTGTTATTCTACGCAAGGACGGTAGATGCGAACAACAAACTAGACTTTTGAAACTAGAGGAAGATAAGGAGGACTTTTACAAAAAAGTAATAGAGATTGTTGTCCAGAAGGATAGCATGGACTTCATCTTCAAGTCAAGGTAAGACCACAATTGTAATGCAAATGGCATCTTACTAAGAAAGAACAATCCAATATTTAAATTGTGGGTAGGCCTATCCTTTTGTTGAACGGTCTGTTTAAAATGAATTGAAGCATCAGACTAAAAAAGCTTTTGAAAATAACCGAATATTTCGATTAAGGTCAAAATATAATATTTGTAAATCTGAAACTGAAAGAGTCAGTGCCTCACCGCACGTCACTGAATAGTAGTATAAGGGTAGTGTATGTTAACCAAATAATTACCGAATATTTCCACCTGCAGCATGAACCTGTGATATGATCAGCTGTTCATACACAATGTCTAAAAGTTCATCATATTTTCTAAGACAATAAGTGAGTTGACTGCTGGAATCAATTCAATTTGCCAGCTTGATCAGCTTAGAGAGATTATAATTGTTTGTTGATTTAGCTTACAACTGTAGTTGTAGAGTAGACCAAACTCAATGACTGTTTTGTGTAATTCCATTTTCTTAGTTCTGGTATTTGATAATGCACAATGGATTAATTTGAATACCTATTGTGTTAACACAAGTTCCAGCATGATTAAATACTTGGCATCTAATATGTTGTTGTTACTAAGAGAGACAGCAGTCCATTTTGATGATATTATTTCAAAATCAGTTGTGTGTAGTCTTTCAGTTTGTTCACAGCCTTACCAGGGCCTTGGTCTCCTCCTCGTCTTTGTAATAGTGGAGCTGGTCCCCTCGCAGAACAAACCAGCGACTGTGCCAAGTCTTGACAAATCCTCCCTGCTTCCTGAGCCACCCACACCTGATGACACTGGGTCGTCCCTGCCGCTGGACCTCTGTGCCGGCCTGACCTCCACTGCGCTGGGGACTGCTGTGGGACACACACGGCTCGTCCATTGCAGCAATTCTAATCTGGAAAAAAGGGAAAGAAAAGGTTTATTGTTATTTGCAGTAGCAGTTCCAAGCAGGCAAAGGGTGAACAAATGATGAACATTCTGCAACATACTATGAACAGATGCTGCAGAATTTATAAATGCTCTCTTTCAAAATGCAGTAACCTTCTAAAGTAAAACAAAAATATTCTTCAAGATTTTAATCAAAAGACAAATGTACTATGTCATATGATTGGGGAGATTAATGGTATCATAATCACCTCAGCCTGACAAAAATAAAAATATTTTCTTTAGGTAGTCTGTGGGTTATACAAGCTTTTCAAATGTCGTTTTAGTTCTAACAAAATGCGACACCTCAAAACCTCTTCAAATAACACTTAAACTATTTGTGTGGCTCAATACCTCATGAGGTTCAAAATGTATTTTGTTAAAGAGTTGCTTATTTGCTGTGTCAATTGGGAACGTTACACAGAACTCCAGGCAGACAGAGTGTTGAGTGTTGAGTGTTGAGTGTTGAGTGAGGGCAAGGAGATGAGAGCAGAAGGGGAAGTGTGGGAGGAGGAATTCATGAACCAGATAACAAGAGCACAGGCCAAACCTCTAATCCCTTTTTATCGGCTTCTTGTGTCACCAACCTACACATGTTGGCCCCCAGTCTCTCCCTTGCGTCTGTGTAACATTCTGTCTCAGTTTCCTTGAGCCTCAATGGTTTTTAGTTTTTCTTATGACAAAGCCCTTATTATTCAAGGGAGGAAATCTGATCTGGGGTCTCTGATGCATTGTACGTGTATGGTTATGTTCAGTTTGGGTTAAGAAACATTATGGATCATGACAAATATCTTATTTTTCCCCATTAAAGCGACATGGCTGTATGGACGGCAATATCTATCTGTCGGTTGCCCGGACAACCTTTAGAGGTATTGCCATGACATTGTACTGACATTAACTGTCCCCAACAGGATGTATTGATAGCTATTTTCTGACGTTGTATCTACTAGCAGTATCAACAGGTTAACAGTAAAAGTTTTTCAACACTTTGATTAATGACCAAAGAGGCCCACCTGCAAAACTGAGGTTATTTGTGGCATTCTGCACTTTTAAGTACCCAGGCCCCTACATACTGTCACACACGTGTTGACACATACACTCAGCATACAGGCCTGCAGCAGACCTTTGCCTACAAAAACACAGGTGATGCTAATAACATTAATTACACCACGTATTGTGCACGCAGGCTCTGTTGCTAGCCTTAATTGAGCTCACGTGAACTCTATCAGCTGCACCTGTGCTTTTCATATGTTGAGAAGCCAAAATCTTTCACAGCGTTTAAAAAATAAAGGCACGTTAGGCTAATTTGCTCACCAAGGAAGGAGGCGCAGTCCATATTACTGCCGGTTAACTGAGGCAACAAGCCAAAAAAGTCCGTCTTTCATTGTTTTCCTGTTACAGAAACGGACTTATATCCACCCAGTGAACACACCTGCACACCGCCCTCACAGCCTGGACCAAAGTGCAGCAGCTGGCCGGACAAAGGTAAGTGACGTTTTCCGGGGATTCGTTGGGATTGTTAATTAGAAGCAAGCATGGACTGTACAGTACATGTATGATGTAACACAAACGGCGTCACTTGGTTTTGTTAGCCAACCTTTTGTATCAGGCCTCATACATACCTAGTTTTTTTTAAGCACATTGGAGGAATAAGCTTTCCGGCCTCTCTGCCTTTTAGGGTCTATTATAATTACATTACATTACATGTCATTTGTTAGACGCTTTTATTCAAAGCGACTTACACACATTCAGTACTGTGGGCAATCCCCACAGGAGCAATTTGGGGTGAAGTGTCTTGCCCAGGGACACAACGACCTGCTGACTGCAGTGGGACTCGAACTTGCTATCCCCTGATTCGAAGTCCAGCACACTATCCACTGAGCCACAACCCAAACTATGATATTTTCCTAAACCTAGCCAAGTAGCCTTGTTTTGTTGCCTAAAGTAGATTTTAGGCAAAATGCCCTTATTGTTTTGTTGTTGTTGCTGAGGCATGGACTCAAAAGCACTGTTATTGTACTGTGTGTCGCAGGTTAAGCTTGAAAAACTAGGCCCCTCTGGCCTGAGTGCGCTCATAGACACCACCCTTCACATTATTGTTTCCATACGCATAATAGATTGTTTTAACCTCATCATTCAGTGCTACTTGCGTAAAGTTTGCTGCTGTCAGCTCTAAGCAATGCCATGTTGTCAATGGCCCTAGCTGAGCGCTTGCCTTGGTGGAAGTCCAAACAGCCCACAGGTCCAGATGAGGACCAGATGCAGCCCAGCAGCGTTCCAGGCAGCACCAGAACAAGTGCAGCAGGGCTGCTGTTTTGTTTTCAAAAATGTCTCTGGTACCATGCACACAATCCCAGAAAGCATGCACTGTATGCATGAGCATGTATAAACACACTCTCTGCTCTAGTTTTTCACTTGTTTTGCAACATGGGGCCCAAATCCTACCTATTGCCTTTGTCCATCAATACATCATATTTGATCTACTTTTGTGCTGGATCTGAGAAGAAAAAAGTGGTCAGTCCCCTTATTTCAACAGCGGTGAAAGCTATTACCTGAGATGGGGAAAATGTTCATTTCGTAGGAACGGTTAATACTAATATTTGAAGGAATAACCTCTGTATCCCTGCTGCCTATGATACACTTGTTACTTTTAGTTAAAACAATCTGTAAGTGTACGCACACAGCATAAATCACAGTCTAGGCTTGATGCACCATCTGTTGATGGAATCACCTGCTGTGTTGCCAGGCTGGTGCCGCAGCCCCTTTACAACTTCATGCCTCCTGCACAGAGCCTAGTTAACAGCACTGCTGGGACTGACCTGCACTGCTACAGTGGGAAATGGTAAATTACTTATGGGTATCTCAATGTGTGACTAATAGCATAGAGTAGAAACACTGTTTAAAATGTGCATTACACTGTGGTCTATTCCCGAAGTAATAAATTGCTACACAGATATAAAAGGCATAACCATTACTACATCTATAAATCAACAGGCAAATGGAAAAAGATAAGAAGAAAAGTTAGTGTTGGCCTACTGTATGTAGGAATGGGATTATGAATTGTAACATTTTAATTGATCTTTCTTAAACCCGTTTGTGAGTTTAAGCAGACATATCTTAACAGAATTATGTGTTAATAATGGACATAAAGTAATGGATCCTATATTTCATGAACCATATGGTTGAATAAACAACTGCTTCGTCGTGAGCACTGGAAGATAGCAGTAGATTCTCAGTCACTGCTGCTAGAAAAAGCTGTTGAGAGGGAAATGATTACTTTCTCACTGACTCACTCCTCTTCTGACTTTTTGCTTAGTATACAGTTTAGACGCCAACACAACTACACAGTGTTCTTATGTATACGTTGTATTGCACAAAAGCTTGCTCATATGTTTGAAAAAACCTACAATAACACTGGGTTCTTAACCAGGCCAATGCTGGCAGACTGAATACCTTTCTTTAGGCTTATGAACAACCCAACATCAGCAAGGAAAAAAGTATTTTATATGTAACCATATATTTTGCTGACACTTGTGAGCACAGTGTACCTACAGATGATGCCAAATACAGTATGGTTCTAAGCACATCCATGATGTAACTGCAAAGTCTTTGCAAGAACACATCAGTCTACCTGGATGTTTTTATCCATTCAGCAGATTGAACCAGCCTCCCTGAAGTGCTTTCTGTGTCCCTGTGTCTGCAGGTGTCTCAGTTTGTGTGAACGTATTCTATCTTTGCATGTGACAATGTTATCTTCCCCTTGACTCTCAAACACCAAAATAAGCAGTAAAATGAGATGTATAACTTGTATTCAATTATTCTTTTTAAGTTTGGTGATGACATGGTGATTGATCTCTAGAATAATGAGTATGGCAGGATGATGAAGCGTTTCATTTCTAAAGCAGCAAGTGCTCTGCGTTACCATCTGCTCTTGTCTAGTAACACTTCACTTGATTATGTCTTGATTTGAGCTTAACAATATCCCAGAATTTTCTCACAGTCCGCCTGAAAACTTTCACCATACGAAGTCAGTGGGAAGGGACACCCTGACCTTCACTATAAAAAAACAACAGCAGCTCAGCATACAGCACAGACAGTCAAACACACACATAAACACTTGCACATACCAGACCCACTCGAAAAGAAAACATAAAGATAGTCACGAATCAGCCCCCTAAGGTTTTGTGGCACGCTCTGTCATTTCTTAGCAGGATGCCATACATGCATGGCCCTGTGGCAGATGAATAACAATGAATACATTCCACAAGTAAAAGGAAAAATGAATGGACTGCCTTTTCTTTGAAGGGTACACATCTTTCAATACGCCATTAGTGTTTGTCTCTATTTTGGCACAGGTATTGGTATTCTTTGTCCGTCTCTATCCTTCAATACAATTGATGCTGAGCCAGGCCATCTCGGGATCAGGGATGCCAGTTGTTGGTTTGTAAATATGCATCTGTCGACAAATTCATAAAATACAGCTACTGGATGTGTCTTTAGTGATGAAAGCTGTTCTCAGGGCAGCCGAGATGGCTCTGAATTGCATATAAATCATTTACAATTGTGTCGGATACAAACATTTGATGTAAGGTAATACTTGTGATGATAGACCTATGCTAATAAAAAAAGTTGTAAGTGCTGTTGCATTATACAGTTTAGGATAACACAGAATGCGGTTATATGCAAGCAGGAATTATTATTTTCCTCATGTGTAAATTATGTCAGAAGCACCATGTGTTGGCTACATTATGAATAACATTATACCCACGCGCAAAGGAAATACGGCTATATAGAGGTTTAAACAAGAGAGGGAGCTTCATGAGATTGTAAAATCGCTGAAATGTAATTATGCAGACCTTATTGTCCATACAGGACTCTTCGCACAGCATGGGGAGGTTGCTCATTTGCACTGCTTGCACAGTGTGTTTGTTCCCCATATGAGATAGCTGAAGCCAGAGAGCCTGAACTACT